CTTCCATTAACGAAGACCTGCAGACGATTCGCACGCTGAGGAGAAACCAACAACTCTGTGGTGTCTTTTCTTTATATTCTAAGTAAGAGCTTTAAAAATGGAACATTTATTTACAGTTCACGCACACCTTCAGCTCAGCAGGGGTAGACATAACCATTGTTTAGGTTGTCCGAGACAACCTATTTTCATTTYGGACAACCAGATCCTGTCTCCTGGTTGTCCAGTCGACAACCAAGCAAAAAAGACCTTGACCTTGTTCTCTGCCGCGGGTGTTTGTTGTTTGTAAAAACGAACGGGAGAAAAAACTTGGTAAAACCGAATAGAACACTGTCTACAGAACAATATACATGTTAAATTACAATTTACTTGAGGTTATTTTGGACAACCAAAATGTTTTGCGGACAACCAGGTTTTGTCAACAGGCTGTCCGCTGGACAACCGGAAAAATATCCTTATGTCTAACCCTGCTCAGTGTATTATTTTAGGCAATGTCGTAATTGTACTTGTGTAAATGACTAAATGTTTGTTGAGATCTTTGCTTGGATTTTACTTGCTGACTTGCTGCATTGGGAGAATCCATAKTTGCAGAGTGGTAGGTAAAGAGCTCTCTGCCTAATAAAACTTAGCAGATCAGGATCAGTTTTATTGAGGCAGACAAGTAAAAAGCCATCTGAAGCTGGTTCCTGAAAGTCAGCCTCAGCCCTCCTGGATCTTTATTTGAGCAACAAATCAAACTCTGATTTTGATTCTCAAACAATTTTAAAAAGAACTGCCCATAATGATTATCTTAAATAGAACATTTAACAAGCAGCAATGACAGATTACATGTTTCCTCAGRTAACAGTTAAGCTTCACTAAAGCAGAACTGAGTAAAGCCAAGGTTTTTCCTCCACAGATGGATTTGTCACTTTCTAAAACACAACAAATTGCTTACAATTACACAACAGTCATAACTGTTTTGTTCTACTAAATATGTSTGACAACAACTGAAGTCAGTGAAACAATTACCTGAACTTAGCATCACCTTAGAGTAGGGTTGGGCAATATTGGCAAAATATTTTATAACGATAATGATTAATATGATTAATCCCCTGGAGTCCCTGGATGCATGCACATCCTAGTCACATGACTAATTTAAATCACTCTAGRGGGCAAGATTTGCTCTCTGTAGAAATTTGTTAGAGTAAGAAAATTTTACTTGGTAAGATTCTTAATATACTTGATTTGACTCATTTTTTTTTTTCTTATTTCAAGAATCTTACCTGGATGCATGCACATCCTAGTCACATGACTAA